TTATTTATATCAAATGGCAGGCGTTGTGAAAGTTATCATTAGCCCTTTAGTTGACTTCAGGCTTCACAGAGGAGGAGGAACATCAAAGTGAAACATGTCGAGAGGGAGAGGGGGAACAGAAGAGAGTCTCAAATATGTAAAAGAGACAGACACAAAAGTGGAAAAAGGTGAGGTGAGTACAGTGAAAGTAGTCGAATATGGCATAGAGTGAGGTGATGGTAGTTTGAAGTCAGAAGTCAACTGCCAGTTAGTAGACTTTTTTGCCGCATGAGTATACGTTGCCCAGGGTGTACCACGTGGAGGCAAGTCTATCGAACACCCTGCATATTAGCACTAGTGACAACGGTTGGTTGCAAAAATATTAATAATAATAATATTCTGACCGGGGTGTGTTAATTTTTTCTCCAACCTCGAAATTTAATGTCAACATTGACGTTGGCGTTCAGATACATGGACTTCCACCAATTCTTGCCCAAAACAATACTTGAAGCAATGGGGTACGAAAAGACTGGTATTCGATGCCTCTGAGGACCATGTAATTAACCTATGTTGAACACCAAATTGGAGATCGGAGAATGGTTAAAAGCCATATTTCGGTAATCTATTTACCATGGTTTCATAGTAATCGTCTGAATAAGAAAATATTTCGTGTGTAATCTCAATTCTATGTTTAAAACAAAGAGTATAAATGGCCTAAAGGTAACTAGTTCATTTAAACCGAGAGGTAGCAATGTCCTGCACTCCAGTTCCCAAAACTGGAAACTTCCACTAAACTCAAGTACAATAAACTACTTGAGGTGACTGAAAGAACGTCTTTCTTTGTTTTTAGGTGCATTTTAAAATCGTATGGAATTGAGCGCATATTTCTCAAGTGAAAGGAAAGGATACACAATATCCTCAAATTATAGAAGAGCATTTTAAGTTTTGGTTGCATGGCAATAAAAAGAGACTATCTGAACAACAACTTTATTATATCTACGATAACCAAGTTCCGGATGCCAGAGATGAAATATCTTTCAATATTCCGAGGGACAAATCGTAACATTGAAACTTTGGAACATTAGGAAATTGCGCATTTAAATATACCCATTAATTAAAATGCGAATATTTAGAAGCATCCAGAACTCAAATTAAGTGAGATTCTTTGAGCATCTACCCAACATTGATATTATTTACGGAGGAAGACGATTCGAACATCTCTGTGTTCACTTTAGAGGAAAATCAGAGCTCCTCTTGAAATCTGATATACGTTGCTGTTCATATTGGTGAAGCACCATGCGTAATCGATTCTTAGGGTGTTTTAAATCACACAAGTGCTGACCACTTTTGCTGTCATGTTTTTGATCTAACTAGAGTTAAAGAGAACCACCAATTTACACCTCATGACACATATTCGCATGGAAAACAAATCAACTGAGTAAAAGAAAAAAATTGATACTAGTTTAAATGTTCCTTAACGCGTTGCTCAATCATTTTATCCAAAATTAGGATGAATTTAGGATTAGAAATTGAAATATTGTTTTTTTTGGGGAATTGCTTGATTATTTCCTTTACTTCGATTATTATCCATGGAAATGAGAAAAGTAGCCAGTTTTAATCACGCGAAACCTCCTCAACACACGAATCAAGTAAAATATCAAAGACGATTTGATGGAAGTGGGGAAATAAGTCAGCTAGAATAACCCCAAATCTGAATTTTTTCTGTCTACTTGCTTGTTGCCCCACGTGTAGCATTTGGATTGAGAATGAAAGGTTGATAATAAAATTCAGTAAATCCTTATACCTCGATAGCTAAATAACGCTCAAATAATACCAAAATTCAATGCTTACCCTCTTTTACGTTTCTTTCGATCCCATTAAGATTTAAATAATATATAATATTAAGTAATTAATGAGTTTACCAAAAACTCCTCAGTTCCAAAGCGGAAGTTGTTATACTCTAATAATTTTTGGCATGAAGTAGGAAAAATTTTTGTTTGCAAAGTCGAACATTTTGAAGTCCACAACCTCGTTGTAAAATCAGGTTCTTCCACACTATTGTTGCCCTAAGAAGTCTAGTTTTTTTTGTCACTTCTATCTATCTATCTAACCACTCGTTAGTTGATGCAGTCTCGCAGTTACTCCGAGTGCCATTAATTAAACAAGGGCAACGCACAAAACTAAAATATACGATCATTATCTTCTTTTCCAACTTCTTGTTCATCATTTGAGGCCATGTAACACAATATTTTCTCACAATAGCACGCCAATTTACATTAACAATAGAATAGGTAATTGAATAAAAAATCGATACCTACGTGACCACATTTTGAATCCAAAAAAAGTTCCAGTGTTATAATTGGATTGAATCCCACTGTGATCGTATTTAAGAAATGAAATTAATACTTTCAATTGTTTTTCCTCAAATGCAATTGGCAGAAACCGGCTTGGCAATCTATAAACTGCCTATTTTTCGTACGTGAATGTCCGCACACCAGTAAAACATTTTTAATTAACTCAGCAAATTAATGGCTAATTTTTCTTTCCACATTGATCGTATCCTGGGGCAAGAGCCTTTCAAATTTGTCTACTTCAGTGCGGATGGGCATTATTAATGTCGCGTTAGTGATTATTTAGTCGAGAGAAAGCTCTGCATTCACTTCGGTTCCATTCACTTCCAGGTTGAAAGAAGGCATTTTTGTTAATCTTCTAGGTGAAAGAAGCGTATTTTATCATAAAGTATCTTATAAAATGTTTGGGTGCTCGCGAATGGGATTAGACTGATGAAAAGACCCGCTATGGAGTGCAGGGTCTTCTATTAATTAAGGGCAACACTTATGCCTAATTAAAATTGCAGTCTTCCTGTGTCCCACTTACCTAATTGAATTATTTAACTTGAACATCTTTTGGTCAACAACACAATGTCTAAATCATTTTTACTGCCTCCATAATAATGCAAACCTCACACGAATTATTCAAGCCAAATTACTTGAAAATTCTGCTTATTAACTAGTTAAAAATCGATAGCCATGTGACTGTACGTCTTAATTAAAACTAATAAAAAAATGTCCAAAGGGCAAGTTGTTGAAATCCATTAATTTAGTCAAATAGGGGACACCAAGAAAGCGATCTAGTCAGGGTCCTGTTAGCCTTTAAAATATGCTTTTTACTGCGAGAAAAGAGAGATCATGAGACTTCTCTAAGTTACGTTGAGTTGAAATCCTAGCCTCTGTTTGTTGAAAACTTGTATAACTGTGATCAGCCTTGAAAATATCGATTTTCAAGAGTAAAAGCTACCTAGATGTATAAATAGTTAGATCATTCACGGAGAATTCTGAGAACTGTAGACCTAAGAGAGCAACATTGCCTATTTTGCTATGTATACATATTTCCGAGCATCCAAACAAATTACAAAACAGGTTCCATCGCTGGTAGTATCGAATACCAGCACGAAATTGTCTAGCTCTTCGTATACTCTGATACAGGAACCAAAGTATCCCTGAGAGAAGCCATTCAATTACCCAAAGTTTTCCAAGTAAAGTATAAAGAAGGATCTTAAACCAATTGCCACAACCTTCATTTTGGTAAGAAATAGTACCTCACCCAAGTAATTAAAAACAATCCTTTTGACCCATCTCACTTAACTCACATGACTGCCATTGGAGATTTCTTAACTCATTAACCCCTTAACGCCAGAAATACTTTCCCACTTTTTTACCTTCTGTTACGATTCCAGCACAAAGAGGATCGAACGGGCCTGCAAGGCGTTAAAGGCTCAGAATACGCGTTAAGTTAGCCGTAGGCAAAAGTTAAAAATCCAAACTACCCATTCACATTATTTTAGCTTAAAAATAGCCACACCAATCACTACTCATATCTGCATTACAAATCCGAAACGCATGACAATGTCGGAGGGGAAACACCTCAGCAGAATAACAAGCTATTTCACTCTGTAAAATTAGGCACCGAATCGCACACAGGAAAAGCTAATCGAAATGCGTTACAACTTAAATTCTCCAAAAAATCCAAGTAGTGTGTAAACCTGGCCATCGAAAAGCAAAATATCTACTGGCGCAGACAATAATGCGCCTACAACTATTGGAAAATTCCACAGAAAATGATAGGCATTCCGATTTAACGGTGTCAAAATCAAAATTCCAAACTCGCTTTAAATCCTTTCCATCAGGTACCTTAAACAGATTCGACAATTCGGGCGAATCAAGTGGAATATTCAGTTAACACTATTACTGATAACACAAATAAAGACAGGACGGGGAAATTTTCCAAGCGCGCGCTTAGGAAGACACCTTAGTCATACACCCGTGCACGCACAGTGACTTGCGCGGCGCATTCCTCGTCCGACTTAGACCAAACGAAGAACAGGGGGGGGGGAAAGGTATAGATTAGTCATCAACGTAACATACCACCACACTTGGCGCACGCCCATTACCTTAACGGCAAACTTTAAAATTAAGTGTGGAAATAAACACGACTGCCAATTCAAGCCAAAAATACGTACATGCGGAAAACAAGGCAAAAAGATCAAAATGCTAGAATCCATTTATTCAGCGGATTCACAAAACAATTAAAAAGAGAAATGTAACGCAGATGTGGGGTTGGAGACAGCGTTGGAGTATCTTAGCAAATTTGCACGAATTCAGTATCCCCTCTTACCGAGGTAAGAGGCCATGTCACATCCAGCTTGTGCAAGTAGACGGTTAACACCAGGACAATCCTTGGGTTTTGAATTGCCAGTAATAATGACCATAGTCTTAAGTATTCGGCAATCAATGGCATATTCACTACCAGCAGCACGAAGCTCACCATCTCCAGCCATAAGAGTGATGAGTTTCTTACCATTGATAGTTACGGAGTCGTGACAACGGTTTGCAGCATTGTTAACAATAGTCTTAATTTCATCTGCGGTTGGCTAATGCAAAATGAAATTATCTATGCTTCACGCATACCTTTAGTTCGGGGGAAGAAGCCCAAATATTACCATCTAAGCTAGCAAGGCAAGCACAATCGGCGCCATTGTATTTGATGATGGTATCAATATAACTATCCCAAGCCGAACTCGCCATTGAAATAATTGCGTCAAGAAAATAGAGATCTATAATTTACACATTCAGAATTAGAAAGTAATACAAAAAACTTAGGGTCAGTAAACAATAGCAGTATAAAATACTCAAATATATGGCAAAAGGCAATATGAATGAACCGAAGGACGGTGCCGACTTACCGGGAACAAATCCACGAATACACACCTAGCAAGCACAAATGGCGCACACAAAACTTGTTTTAAACGGTAAGTTCAAAATAAATAAATCATATATTAGGTTAATTTTACAACTATATTTAAAGAGATTAAATCACTAAATAGTTCTAAATTGTAAATATTTTAATTAGATATACTTTCTATTTATAATTTACTTGTTTCCTTGTATCATGCTGGAACACCTTCTTGAGAAAATTTAACGAAGAGAATAGATCATTATTCTTTGTATTCTGTTGTATTTTATTTCTTTTTCTTGCAATATTTTTTTTCTGTAAATGAAAATTTATGTTTCAGGCATCATTAACACATTGTAAACTATTTTTGAGTTGAATACTTAATTTCGTTATATCATTAATTGTTGTACATCAGTGAACGTAGATATTATCACTACCTCGATTATAAAGTAGATGCCTTATGCTCTAAACAATGAAAAATGAAATTCTTTAATAAATATTGCTTAAAGACCTTTGAATGCTTTGGCCATTGCGAGTTCTGGGGTTTTATAAAATTATAGGCTTAGAAACTTTCCATTCTGAACTTTTGTTTTCTGAATGATTGCTCACATTCCCAGTTTTCTGAAGTAATTGGTTGTTACTTTATTTTAGGAATAACTAATGAGTTATTAGTTGATTACAAAGCCTATTTTCATAAATATAAAACGACTTGACTCGATTATAGTTTCTTATACTAATTTCCCCGCGACAAATGTACTAAATGAAAAGTTTCCGTTGCTATTTTTATTATACACCAATTTATTTACTCTACCATGAAACCAACACGCCTTTTAAAAATTTTTATGAAATTCTAATTGTTTAGTAATTGCCTCACAGTAAGCGTTTAGTTGTGTTTCTCTAGATTTTCATGAAAGCGTGTGCACTCACTCGTCGGTTTAATTGAAACAATTTTTACTTATTCTAGTGCAACAGGATATTCGAGTTTAGATTTACACCATATAGTCAAAAATTATTCAACCACACTTACAAAGATCGCACAAAACTCAACGCTAGTGATCGGAAGCGACAGAATTTTAACAGCAATATCCATGGGAGTCCGAGGTCATTTGCGTGATCAGATACGAAGATTTTAACAATCAGTTTGGGGAACATTGACGACAAGAAATAATAAATGACTCATGAAGAAAGGTTTCATATTTACATCTTACTCCATTTTCAAATATATTTGGCAGGTTTTCAATCACTCCCGTACACGTTTAAATGCCTCCTTGTTGAATTTCCTTTTTGAGATGGTTAATATAATAACAGCATGATTAGTGCGCTCTCAAATGTGTTTGAGAAGTAAAAGGAATAGCTAATGACGTTTATGTAGTGCCATTTAATATTATAAACCACAGCAGTCAATAGACACCTGGCCATTCGACGCGATACTCCTTCAAAATCAATACGCACATTCTGCCGGATATTTACATAACATGCCAGCAACTTGCCACCCATTGCTGTCGGGACGCAGTGGCCGAGTGGTTAAGGCGATGGACTGCTAATCCATTGGGGTTTCCCCGCGTGAGTTCGAATCTCACCTGCGTCGTCGAGACGGTAGCCTTTAAAAGTAAAAAATTGGTTCTTCAATGGATCCAAAAATATTGTGGTATTATATGCAATGGGCGCTGGCACACTTGTTAAGAAGGGGACTGCAATTTTGCAAGACATGGATCGGCAGATGTCTTTCCACACAATGAGGACCTTAATTAGAAGAGAATTCAGGACTTCAAGGTACATCGAATTTAAAACTCGAACAAAGAATAAAGAGTGGACAGTGGCACTCTCCGACATAGTCGACCGGCCAAGAATTGAAGCTGTTGCTGAGTTCAGACTACGTACCGGACATGGTTACCCGGCGAACCACCTATACAGAATAGGAGTTCATGCCCCCTATGTGACATACAGGAGGAAATGGAGAAGACCCATCTAAAGACAACGAAAGAAACCCAGAGATACTGGAAAGCCAGAAGTTAACTAATGAACTACTGCTAACTGTCCGTACGACAAAATATATGCCCCCCCCCCCCCTCCTTGTGAAACCCGAAGTCAAATAAGGGGCTAATGATAAAGAACACAAAGCCTGCCATTTGAAATAACAGTAATGAATAGCTATAGATAATTTCACAGTATCATCTGTGACAAAACATTACTGATGAATCATGAGGAAATACTTACGTGTGAATTCAGTACTTCTTTCTAAAAATGGCTAAATCCCACCTCGTGGCCCGTCTACTTACCAATAATGAAAAATAAAAATAAAAAATGAAGAGAACTGTTAAACTGAATTTTACAATATAAATTTTCAAATATTAGATCAAATTTTATTTGATTGATCCTGAAAATTGGTCCGGATGATCAACTTAACTATAGATGTTTGAGCACTTCAAAAAGACCATCCTTAATTTTATAAGACAGCCGTCAATGCCAGAGTTTCTTCTTAGTCTAACGAATAGTAGAATACATAATTTTGGAAATCTGACTATATTTAGCTTGGTAAAAAACTTTAAAAATAGAATATCGTTAAGTCAAAGTGGAAAATTGGCACCAGGACACTATGCAAAGATAGGGGATTAAAAGATACTTTAGTTTTTTGTTTAATTGCATACTTTAAAGTGTGAGAAGGCCTGAACTAAGAATAAGCTAGGTTAATCTAATATGATATATCTCTGTTCAGCTATTTTAAATTATTTAGCAAAACTATAAATAGCTTCATCAAAGATGAATTAACAAAAAGTCAATTCTAATTTTAAATCATTAATTTGTCCGCTTTATTGTATTTTCCTTTCAATCACCCATTATTTGATAATATTTAAAAGTTTTTCGGTTTAAAACTAAATACTTACAGCAATACTCAAAATTGGATATAATTTATATTGCATATAATGAAAATATTTATTTATTTCAAATGGCAGGCGTTATGATAGGTATCATTAGCCCTTTAGTTGACTTCGGGCTTCATAGAAAGGAAGATGAACATCAAAGTGGCAAAGAGTCGAGAGGGGGACAGAACAATGATTCACAGATATAAAAGAGATAGACAGACAGACACAAAGGTAGAGAAAAGGTAAGGTAAGATGAGTACTGCGGAATTATTCGAATATGAAATGCAGTGGGGTCATGGTAGTTTGAAGTCAGAAGTCAACTGCTGGTTAATAGACTTTTTTGCCGTATGAGTATACGTTGCCCAGGGTGCACCACGTGGAGGTAAGTCTATCGCACACCCCATAATGAAAATATGAAATTGCTTAAATCGTATAACTATAACTATATTTAAAATTCAGTTCATACATTCTTAAATAATTTATAAAAATCTCAGAGTGTGATAGATATATAGTTAAAGAACCTCATAATCAGGTTCTAAAAATATTAATAAAGTTTTTATGTACTATTTGAAGGTCTTACACCGCCTCAATTCCTTGTGAACATTTTAAGATCATCGGAAAGACAGTGAATGTTCACTTTTGCACCATGATTACTAATAAGTATTTAAGTACTTCATTCTTACTTTCAAGTCAAAGAGGTGGCACATTTTCATTTTTGTCATGCCAAATTTTGAGATATTTTTTTACTAAAAATAAAATCACTCCTAGTACCTTACCGCATACTCCTGATTTCGGAATAGTTTTTGACATTGATGGAGTTCTTATGAGAGGAACTAAAACTATTCCTGCAGCTGTGAGCGCATCCGATATGTTGTACGAGAAAAATGGTAAATGGAAGGTTCCTGTCATTTTTCTGACCAATGCTTCCAATGTAACCAAAGATGCTAAGGCTGAAGAAATTTCAAAAGTCTTACACAGAACAGTAAAGTTTTTCTATATATATTTTAAATTTCAACTAGGTTCTTCCCTCGCAGGTTGTGACCCCTCATTCTGCCCTACGGCTTTTCTCCACGTATTTTGACAAACATGTTGTAGTTTGTGGGTATGGCCCCGTAAAGCATCTCGCCCAAAGTATTGGATTTAAGAAATGTTCTACAATTGATGAAATCTCTCGAGTCTTCCCCTGGTTAGATGCTTGCAAACCGAGAAATGAGCTCTATAATGTAGGTTTTGCAAATTCTTTCGCCTATTTGTTTACTTTAAGGGTGGCGTAATTGTGAATGACTTCTCAAAAATTGAGGCAGTTGTTTTGTTGGGAGAGCCCGAAAGATGGGAACACAGCTTGCAGATTCTACTTGATATTCTTATACAAGGTGGTGATTTGAATAAAACTCCAGATGAATACCTGGGTAAGTTTGTATGGATCTGAAAAAATAAAATTTTAATATAAACTAATATTAAGCATATTCCTTTATTCGATTTCAGCGCAGAGATCTCAGCCCCACCTACCACTTTTCGCCTGTGGAAGTGATTTAGTTTGGTCGAGCGATGCTCCAAGTCCTCGAATTGCTCTGGGAAGTTTTCTTAGTTGTCTACAAACGCTTTATGAGAGGTTAACAGGACGACATCTCATCTGTACTGGAACGTTGGGGAAACCCAGTCCATCGGCCTACATGTTCGTAATGGTTCAGTGCAATGCGATTGCTGCCAAGGATTTCGGTGCTACAAGACCTCTTAAACGGATTTATTGTATCGGGTAAAGTTAAAAGGGATTGCCAACTATTTACTATCGACTGGGAGTACTTAAAATGAATCTGATATAGCTATCAGGTCGATTTCTAAGGCTTACTTTGCCCAAAGTAATAGCACACTGGAGCTTTGAATATTAAAAACTTGTTTTAATCTAAGTGGTGTGGCGGGCCGTTTCAACTGCTAGGTGTTTATCAATGATCATTGGCGTTCTAGACGAGTACGTCAACCCCTACACAATCGATGTTTAACCAAAAATTATTGATCTTATATATAACATTTTGTCTCATTCCATGGATCAACAAGCCGGTCAAGTGCTGAGTTGTTTTGAGCTTGGAATACAGATTGATTACTGTCTTCGCCTCTATTTCAAAGGCGGAAAAATTTGGGATAATTGATATAAACTTTTTAAAACCCCTAGACATAAAAGTCGGACAGATTTAATAACTAAATTGGTTCGAAGATGCTGCCGTCAAACCGCATTTCTACTATGCCAGGTTTCACAAGATCGATGCCCATCGGCACATCCAGTGATGTGGGTGGTCAACAGAAGAGGTGGTTGAATGCAAACTTCTTGTAGAAGTGGACTTGAGATACCCTTCCTATCTCCACGTTAAGCGGTCTCATGAATTGTATCCCGTTTAAACAGCAAAATCTCTAATATTTAAAAGTTTTTGGAAATATGAAAATAAAGACCATGTAGTGCAGAAATGGTCGCGATCAGAGAAGTTAGAGATGAAAAGCTGAAGTCAAGTTGAAAAAAGTATTTAATTTATCGGTATGTATAGATAAATGACGATAAAACGATGTCATTTCATGAAGGGAACGTCGCATTTACATAGTGTTCACTTCTTCTAGAGAGAGGAAGATAATTAGTTTTCATTTCCAATAGATAATTCGACTTTCTTTGCGCATATTTATTCTATTCTCCTCGTTTTCTCATTGCTCGAAGGTTTATGGTAATCGAGTTCAACTGGATATCGTTAGTAGGAGATTCAATTGGAGAAGTATGGTATTTTCTTTTATTAATTTTAAAATAGTTGATTGGTCGATTTTAGCAAATTCTCATTAAAAATAATAATCACATTTAAGTGCTTTACAACTTATAGACAATGGGTATTTTTTACCGTTTAAATTTTTTGCATTTGAGGGGAATAATCACTTTTATATTTAAAAAGCATATCTAATTATAAAACGAACATTACCATATTTTAGATGATTAGTAGTTAGTTGAGGTATTCATTTGAGAGAACCCTCGAATTCGGAAAATATACAACACACTGAGAGCTGTTTCCAAGCTGAAATCTAGGCTCACAGAGATATCCCCAGTGAAGGTATTGGCAAAGATATCAGTGAAAAGTAATAATTTTAAACAAAATGAAATTTGTATTATTTATTTTTATTGCACTTTTTATTTAATAACAGTGTTAAGATATTTAAGGTGATTTTGCAATATCCCTTACATTGGCACCAAGTAAGAGACGTCGAATAACTGAGCCCAGCTAGACCAGTTTCCATATCAGTAATTGAACTAGTGATAATTGACATGTTCATCACGGATATGATATTCATCATCACATTTTCGGTGAAGTCTGATTTGGACACTTAGGGGTGTGGTGTATCTCATTCCCATAAAATAAATTTTTCTCATGAGCGGAACTCAATAATATACAACAGAGTGGCTTACATGCATCATGATTATTGGAATATCACAGGCAGGAGTGAAGAAAATGGCAATATTCTGATCTCAGTGAGGGCACTTTTGAAAGTATCGCGGTAACGTTTAATATTATCAATTGTCTCCCCACCAATCTAACGGGCAATATGCTCAGCTCTCACTCTGGCGACTTTAACTCCTCACTAAAGTGACTTTTAATGAGTCCCTTTCGTGCACATCTGCGAAATATATCTATGAGTGGCTAGTGAACGCGATGTCCAACAGAACTGGTTAAATATATTCGAAAGGAAAATAGATGACAAAATGAAAGTTTCATAGCATGCAATCTCCATTATACAACCTAAATCCAAACTCAAAATGAACTGAGACTCTTTGTTAGTTCTGTGTTGCTTTTGAAATCTTATTAATTTTTTCAAATTAAACAAACATTGGACTTTCAGTTGCATTCAACAATTAAAATTGCATCTTCTGCATACTATTGCTCAGAATGGGTGTTAAAAAAGAGCTTTCCTAATTGATATAGCTGCATCCATTAATCTGTTACGGATTGATTTTAAAAGGTCGGTCTCAAATAATTGAATTCACTTAAGAAAAACGTTCTGAGTGCTCTTTTAAAGTGTTGTTCAGTCGATTCGAGCGAAATAACATTGGGACATGTAAATAAACTCGAGTCAACTTAAGTGGTAGTGGTGGTGGTGAATAAGATAGAATTTATAATGATTTTTTAGCATTAAAAGGGCTTTGTTTTACTCAAAGATGCCACCGAAAGCAATATTGTTTCATTCAGTGATCAACTTATTTAAGTTTAAACGAAGAGGGTTAACAGGTATAAGACCTGTTTGCTATGTTACTTTGTAAACGACGTTACAAAATACTTTTCTTATTTGTGGTAAAATTGGAGTAGGTAATACCTGAACACTTGGTAGTTAGAACTCAGCACTTAATCATAAATCCCTGGTCTTTTCATCTTAATTCAAATCTCTATCAAACCAGAGAAAAATTTTTCCTTTTATCTCTTTATTTAAATCGGCATTTCGACTCCTATTTGACCATTAATAAGGTTCGATTTTAAAATTCAAGAAGATAAATTTGGATTCCTTACTTTGTCATTAGCTCGTTTTACGGCGTACAGATTAGAGAGGAGCACGTACTGTCAGTTATAAATGCGACAAAACAGAGATAGAATTGGCATTGAGGTGCTTGGAATAAGGGGAGTGTATCAAGGGTGAAACAGTGAGAAGGTCATTATCTGACACAAATTGCTCAATGACAATAGTGAATGATTAAAAATGGCAAAGCCACATGATTATTAATTAGGAGACTGTTTTACTAAGCTTATCTAAGTTTAGTTTGAGATACCAATTATAATAAGGTTATCCGATTCATTATTCACTAAATACCATTTTATATCGATTTTTTCGCACATGATCAAAGTTGTCACAATAATACTAAGAAGTGTCATATTTTTTCCGAAAAATAGGTGCCGATGAATTAAGATAATTGGATCAAATGACAAACCTAACCAGACATGAAAAAATTTTCCACGAAATAATTAATAATGGTATAGATGTCCTCTAAATTTATGATATAAAAATTAACAATGATTAAAGTTATGATATTACTGTCCCACTTTTTTACATTTTTTTCATAATTTTATTTTTTAATCACATGACCTGCAAAGTGGAGGGACTTGAGAGAATATTGAAATTACGGTATCTCGTGGTATCAACGAGTCGCATTTAATTTGATTTTGATTTCAAGGTATTAAATGTCTATAAAATTGGTGATTCATATTCTTAAAATTAAATATCATGATTAATCGACTAGATCACTGAACGATTCCCATATTTCCACTTCACTTCGCTTTTCCTTCTTCAAACTATGAGAAGGCAGAAAGATATAATATGATATGAAGTGGGTTATCTTAACTATATCAGGAAGCTTTACAAACAACACAACAGTTTATTTTGTAAAATGTATTTAACAAATATTGAATATGGTAGAAGGATCCATGGTTCACCACAGAGAACTCATAGCGAATGAACCATATAGATACGAAAGATAGTTATTTATTAACTAACCACCTAATTGTGAATGTAATATTGCTTTAGAGATAATCCAGAAGTTGATGTCTACGGTGCCAATCTTTTCAATCTCTGTCTCCAGAATATATCCGAAGAAGTTTTCAACTCATCTTTCCAACAGGTCAGCTCCCTGGTTCAAGATGAAAATCCAAGCCTCTTTCCAAATTCGATGCCAAGCTTCAACTTTCGAGCGAGCGAGAATGAACAGATTAAGGCAAGAGAAATCGACTGGAGTAGTCTAATTCATGGATCTGGGTCTATGTCTCAGATTATCAACGAATTGTCTAAAGAGACTCCAAAAAGGAGACTCGATTGCTCTTTTGAACCTATACTGGTTACATCTGGAGTCTATCATGTACGTCTGGGTGTAGAATCGTTAAATTCCAAATTAAAAGGACATAAAAATATGTGTGGTAATATGTCAAGTGACTTCAATAACTAGATCGCTATTTATCCACTGATTCGATTTAAACAAAAATTAAAAAATCAAAAAGCTAATAAAACATCTCAGAAAACAGATTAAAATCGACGTAATCTGATCCATCTTTCATGAAGTATTAAATATACATTAAAATATCAATCAATATTTAGTCAAAAATAAATAATGTAAGCGAGCTTTATTCACGAAAAAGAAAATGGTTTTATATTGTAATAAAAGTTTCATAAGGGAAATAAAGAGCTTTCTAATTTGTTATATTTAAATTTAATCTAAATAATTTAGTTTTGCTTTTTCAATTTCGAATTTTTAGGAATCCGATGGAGAGCCACACAATTGGCGTGGTCTGCTTAGTGCCCATAAAAAATTTCCCCATTTGGAATTTCTCTATCGACCCCGCCTTGTATCATCAAATGCTGCCGAAGCCGTCTCTACGATTCTACGAATGGAAAGTAGTCAGGAAAGTGCTGATGACACCAAACTTGAATCCTAGAGGCAAATTATCTTGCCAACTTGCCAAAAAAGGCATCAGCTTTAAGGAAAGAACTCCACCTCCACAGAAGACCATTTTTCCAGTTGGTCCTATAATCACCTCATGGAGAGTGTTATTATTAGATATAATTTCTTCTAAATTTGCTGAAGATGACGATGCTTTTAGAGATTTTGATAGATGTAATAAATTATCATATTTTGGTATAAATTTGTTATTTTTAAATTAACATAAGTGAAAGTTATTAGTTAAAACAAAACTTTGATACCGATTCAAATACAAGGTGAAAATGATCAGTTTACGTAATTAACCGTTCGTTAAAATTTACTTTATTATTTCTGGGGTGTGTGATAGACTTACCTCCACGTGGTTCATCCTGGGCAACGTATACTCTTACGGCAAAAAAGTCTATAAACCGGCAGTTGACTTCTGACTTCAAACTACCATCATCCCACTGTATTTCATATTTGACATCTTCCACAGTAATCACCTCACCTTTTTTCTACCTATTCTAACTTCGTCATTGAAACTCTTCTGTTGCTCCCCCTCCCCTCTCGAAATTTTTTCACTTTGATGTTCCTTCCCCTCTGTGAAGCCTAAAGTCAACTAAACGGCTAATGATAGACATCGAAACGCCTGGCATTTGATATAAAAACTTTATTATTCAAGTACACCCATATATTTAGAATCGAGACATTGTACAC